TCTTTCTTTCTTTCTTTCTTTCTTTCTTTCTTTCTTTCTTTCTTTCTCTTTCTTTCTTGAGTCGGGGTTTCTCTGTGTAGACCTGGCTGTCCTGGAACTCACTCTATAGACCAGGCTGGCCTCAAACTCACAGAGATCCACCTGCCTAAATTTCCCAAATGCTGGGACTAAAGGTGTGCACCACCACTGTCCAGCAGCAAGATAATCCTTTCTCACTTGAAGTGTAGGTCAGTGGTGGAACGCGTGCTCGGTGTGTGGTTTTGGGGAAGGGGGAAAATAGCACAAGCTTAAGGGGTTAGTAAAATGATTGGACGGGCGAAGGCGCCTGCTGCCAAGGCCAACTGCCCAAGTTCAATCCCCAGGACCCACACCGTAGAAGGAACAAACCAACCCCTGAACGTGGCCCTCTGACCTCCACACAAACGCAGTGGCATGATGGTACCTCACACTGATGCTTTAAAAAAGTTTGCAATCAGGCTAGAGAGATGGCCCCGTGCTTAAAAGTGCTTGCTGCTCTTCTAGAGGGCCTGGGTCGGATGCCAGCTCCCATTTCTGGAGGCTCACAATTGTCTGTAGCTCCAGGTCCAGGGGATCCGATGTCCTCTTCTGGACAACACGTGTCCCGTCCCGTCCTGTCCCCCGTTTTTTGGTTTTTTGTTTTGTTTTGTTTTTGTTTTTGTTTTTTTAAAGCGAGAAAGAGAAGTTTAAGCCGTCTCAAGCGTTCCCAGCAGGGAGTAACAACCTCGTGGCCAGACCTACGGCCCACTCCTTCTAGCTTCTTAAGAGGGGAGACAACTGTCCAGTTTTCAGCAGGGCGGTCTTGGGCTTCGGCATGGGCCCCCCCATCTCCTGCTGCTGGCCACCTGCTGCTTCCCTGGCTGCCAGGCAGCTCTCCCAGGCAGAGCAGGCAGCTGAGGGACCTAGAGTGAGAGCAATGGGAGGGGCGCTGTCTGGCGCGGCCCCCCCCCCCCCCCCCCCCCCTTCCTCCCTTTCCCCCCCTAGGCTTGACTCTCACTGCTTTTTCCCTCTCAGCTTTATCTCAGGAGATCAAGGCCTGTAAGGCCCACTCAGGTTTTACCTTGACTTGTAACCAAGGCCCTGAAACATGTAAAGGAAGACCAGGGAAATCCCCTTTACCATCTGGCGTGTAAGTAAACTAGAGTAAGCCAGGGAGCATGGGTGAGGGGCAGGAGCTGTGCTACAGAGCCAAGGAAGGAGGGCAGGGAGTCAAGATTTAATCAGGGGCTGGAGACTACTTGTCTAGCTTGTGTGACGCCCTGAGTTCGATCCTCCAACACCACATTAAAGAGAAAACAAAACAATGACGACAACAAAGACTAATCCAGTGCGTTTCAGAGCAGCCCTGAAGTGGCCGCCCCTGACTTCAGAAACACCTGGGCCTAAGTTCACATGACTCCATCAGTTATGAACTTGAACTTTTTTTCATCAGTCAAGTGGGGATAATTATTGCCCAGTTATCACTGAGACCACAGTATTTGTTTTGTTTTGTTTTTTAAATGTGTAAGTTAGGCACTATCCAAACTGTTTAGGGGACTTTCCCATAGCCCTGCCCACAGGGAGAGCCACAGCTGCTTCAGCCTAATTCCTGGGTGCTGGGCTGTGCTTGCCTACTTGTCCTCCTCAACCCCTCCTAGACTGCTATGAATAACTCAGCTCCTACTTTCTTCACTCGAATCCCAAAACTTGAGGTCTTCAGAGACTTCAGGGAGGGGCTAGAGAGATGGCTCAGCAGTTAAGAGCACTTGCTGCCTTTGCAAAGGATCCGAGGTCGAGTGCCCTATCTACAACCAGCTGTAACTCCAATTCCAGGGCATCTAATGTTCTCTTCTGGCCTTCACAGGCACCAGCATGCACCTGGTACATGTATGTACACGCAGGTGGGACACTCTCGCATGTACACCCACACACATTTTTTTAAAGAATTATTTTTTCAAATATTTATTCTAAAAGAATCCACTTGAGATAAAGAGCCTAAGGCCCAGAGGAAATAGGGCCTGACCCAAAATGAATCAAATCTCGAGACTCTTCCTGAATCTCAATGGCCCTGACCCTTCACAGAACCAATGGCAGCAGCCATCATTTTCTTCTGAACCCTACATCCGCCCTGCTCTTGGTTCCCTCCTCTTGTCTCTTCTTTTGCATGTCTGTATGTTTTCAGACAGAGTCCCAGGTAGCACAGGCTGGCCTAAAAGTCACCATCTATCTGTGGCTGTCCTGATCCTCCTGAGTTCTGGGATTACGGAGCTCATTCTTTTTTTTAATTTTATTTATTTATTTTATGTATGTGAGTGCCCTATCTGCATGTACAGCTGTGTGCAAGAAGAGGGCATCAGATCCCAGTATAGATGGTTATGAGCCAGCATGTGGTTGCTGGGAATTGAACTCAGGACAGAGCAGATAGTGCTCTTAAGGGCTGAGCATCTCTCCAGCCCAGGAACTCATTCTTTAAAAGAAAACACATCTGCCGTTTATAGAATAGTTGCTAGAGTTGGGCACTATCAATATGAAGGAGTTCTTTTTTCTTGTTGAGACAGAATCTTACCAGGTAGTTCTGACTGTCTTGAAATTTGAAATCCACTATGGAGACCAGGCTGGCTTCAAACTCAGAAGTCTGCCCTATGCTGCCACCTAGGAGCTGGTACTAAAGGCGCTTACCGCTACACCAGGATTACTGGCTCTCTCTGTCTAAATGATTTCTATTCCATCTGCATTGATTTTTTTGCCTGCATGTATGTCTGTGTGTGTGTGTGTGTGTGTGTGTCGGATACTCTGGAACTGGAGTTAACAGATGATTGTGAGCTCCTATGTGGGTGTGGAGAATTGAACCTGGGTCCTCCGGAAGAGCAGTCAGGGTCCTTAAAATAGGTTATTAGCCAACAGGATGATACAGGTTTGAAGTTTCAGCATTTAGAGGCAGAGACACAAGGATCCTGAATTTAAACCCAGCCAGAGTGTAGACCATGTCTCAAATGCTTAAAAATAAGGATTATCATTGCATTTGGTCCTCCCACACTTTTTTTTTTTTTTTTTTTTTTTTTTTTAGGTTTGGAGGCATGTTAAAGACTCAGAGATTCAGCCTCAGGCCTGACCCTGCCCAGGACATATGGTTCCAAGCCTAGGAAACATCCTGCAATTACCCTCTTGTTGCTCTCATGCCCTGCCTATGCTTCTGAGAACTCAGAATTCATCTATCAGGTCTTGGAACCTCCAGGCTAGTTTCATCCACCCCCAGGTTTCAAAGAAGGAAGCTCTCTTCCCCGCCCCTGAGGCCCTCCTTCCTCCCCCCTCCTCCCCTATCTGCTGGGCCTCCTAGTTCAAAAGCAGCCAAGTTCAAAGAGGCCTGCAGATTGCCCCAGCTCCTCTCTCAAAGCTGCTGCAGAGCCCAGAGCGATCCAGGATGAACTCCTTCTTCCTCGTCGTCACCATCAGTCTCCTGATTGTTATTCAGGTAAGGACAATCTTCAGAGCCCCTGCAGCCACCACTGGCCCTCCAATGATGGACTGGGCTGGGTTGGGGGAGGAAATGTAGGTATCTGGGGGACCCAGCCCTCTACCACAGGGATAGAAATAGATGGTCACCAACCGGAGACCAGGGATTTAGGAGGGCCTATGTATCTGGGTTTCCACTCCTCTCAGCTGCTGTCGGGCCACCCTGGGAGAAGCCAGTGTTCCCATGTGGGAAACCTCACAGGCTGTCAGGTACATGGAGCAGTAGCCCTGCTGAGGAGAGCCGCAGAGATGGTCCTTCTGAGAGGAGGGAAGAAATGTCTAATAGACCGCCATAGGTGGTGGAGGGTCCCCTGCCCCTGCTAGAGTGAAGGCTGGGCACATGTAGATGTGGAGGTCTGTCCACTCTCTAAATCAACCGCACTCCGGGAGGCAGCCTTCGGGGCACTTGTGTGCCCAGAGGTACCTGATTAATACAGGGAATGGAGCCATTCAGTTATCAATCAAGAACATCTCAACCGAGCATCAAAGGCATGTTGATAGCCGCCAAAACTAGTCTGGTTCCCGTCAGGAGCAGCTTCACAGCTTCACTTACGGCTCTGTCAAGCATCAAGAACAATCTGCCACTTGGCATTTCTACCCTGCCCTCCCCCCCACACTCTGCCAGGGAACTTTTCATTCAGCCCTGCTTCTCCCATGTGATACTCCCAACCATCATGGACCCTCCCTGACACTTAGGAGACAAGGAAACTGAGGCTCTGGGAGAGGAAGCCCTTCCTCAGGTTCCTAAGGTCAAGGGACGGGGTTTCTGTCTGTTTCCCTCAATGCTGGAGGGTCCGGTGGCCTGAAGAGTGACAGGAAGTTTTCTGTAGGGTTGGGGAGAAACAACAAGGACAAAGATGGCTTTATCACTGCCTGTGATGAGGCGGGAAGCCAAACGTCCCTCCCAGCAGGGTCTATGGCAGAAGCTTTTTGGAGGCTGAGAGCTGTGGAAAGGAGCAAAGGAAAACAAGCCCTTAACAGGAGGTTCAAATCCTCCCACGCTCTGCACTTCTCTTGCAGATACAAACAGAAATCTTGGGAACTAATGCTACTGTCCAGGCCATGGCCAACGCCGCCGCCGCCACCGTCAAAGGCGGCACAGCCAAAGCCCCCACAACCAAAGCCTCCGCAACCAAAGCCCCCACAACCAAAGCCACCTCGAAACCCTCAAAGAGCGGGGCGGCATCCATTACCGATGTGGGTGCCTACAATTTCTTCTTCTTTGCCAACACCTTAATGTGCCTCTTCTACCTCAGCTGAGGTGAAGGTGTCAGCCCTATGCTCCTAAAACAGCTGCCACCATCAGTATCGAGAGACATCCCAACCCAGTCCTCGGGAAGACCCAGAGAATCTTGAGAAGTTAAAAGTTCACAGCCAATGGCCAAACTTGGGAGGTACTGATGGACGGTGCACCCAGCTGGGGCTCAATAAAGTTATACTTATGCTTAGGTGTGGCCTCACGAGTGGTCACTCGTCATCACTGACCCCTGGAGCCACACGTGTGTGGCAGCCTCAGGAGCTGTCTGTGGCCGTGTGCTCGGCAGGTGACGCCAAGGTACTCCCCCGAGGCTACCCATCTCAAAGTTCCCGTGTGTACAGAGCACACCCTTAGAGTCATCCTGCAGAGACAAGGGATGGGAAACCGGTCCCCCCATCCCCGCCGCTGTTTCCCTTGTGCCTGAGTATTTGCGAGTGACGAACTCAGTGCTACCTTCACCTCTCAGGCCCTAGACAGCCCAGGCGCAGGCAGTCTCTCACCCCACAACCTAGGTGTCATCATAACGGCAGATTCGGGGAAATCTCGGATCACCTGGCTCTCTCTTTCTTTCGCAAAATTCTCAGCTGGAGAACTGTAGACCAGAAGCACCCGTGTCCGGCAGGGCTCAGGGAAGCGAGGCTCACAGGCCTCACGTCCACATACCTTCTATCACAGGCCAGAGAATGAGGGGGCGTGTTAGCACCCACACCCACGGCCAGAGAAGTTGGGAGGGACAAACAGCTCCTCTAGCTACTCTCCCTGCCTGGGCTTGGGGATGGTGTTTGGAACTGCAAAGAGAGAGAAGGAAGCTCACACTGGTCCCCGAGGGCCCTTGCCTTTGTGTCTTCCTGGGAACCTATGCCAACAGAAGACTGGCAAGTGACCACAGTTCTAGGTCTCTGACGTCCTGACCTGTCATGTAACTAGGGACTCAGCTCTTTCTTCTGGCTTTTCTGACCAAGGCCAAACCTTCCAGCTTTGAGACTACAGTTAGAAGAAGCAGGAAGGAGGAGCCATGAGGACAAAGGCTTCTTGGGGCGCAGACCCTCTCATCTTTCTTGCCATGTCCACTGTGGTGTCACACGGTGAACCTTGAAGTTTTCACCCTTGGATGCCATCTGTAGCCTCACAACGCTTTCCTCTGCCCCTCTGTGTGGCCTGGCCAAGTCCTTCCCATCCCGTGTCAGCTAGGAGTGTCCCTCCCACATGAAGCAGCCCTCCACTTCTGCTCCCTGAACACCTTTGACATGCAGTGGGGAGGGAACCACAGAGGTGTGGCTAATGGCTGTGGGAGTCCCCACAGCAGGAGACTGCGGGGGCCGGGGGTCGGGGGTGGGGTGTTTAAACACCAGATAGGCTGGTTCTGAAGCTCCCTCTGGTGGCAAGGGGAAAGCCAGGCAGGAAGAGAAACCAACAGGAAGAGGAGCCAGCTAGGGGACCCTCTCCACCTCAACATCAAGGGATAAGAGATGTGATGACAACAGAGGCATAGTAGAAAATAGCTTATGTACTCAGCAAAATCTGTAAAAACAAACAAACAAATCCCCAAACAAAAACAAAACCATTTGATCCCAGCAAAAGCCTCCAGCAGGAGACTGGGGGTGAAGTGGGTTCATAGGACGTGGACAGTCCAGATCTGGGAGGGTCTTTCCTTGGTTGGTTCCCATAGCACCACATGGTCCCGGTCATAACCTCGGCCACCTGAGGGGGTTGAGATTCAGAGATGGTCAGAGAGCGCTGGAGGCAGCACTGTCCTCCGCCCTCCTTGGGTGCCCCCCTGCCACGCACAAAGCCTACATTACCCTTTACGTCCAGGATCTGGCCTTCAAACATCTGGCTGCAGATGTGACCCAATTCACTGATGCTCCAAGTCTGGCGTGGTAGGCGGCTCTCAGCCCACAGCACTACTTTGGAGCCTGGGCTGGGCGGTCCAATCACCTGCAGGCTCATGGTGGGGGCCACCTGAGGCCCCGGGAGATCATGAGACTCTGCATTCCTCACAGGCATTTTCCTGTGCACAAGCTAGCCCCCGTACACTGGATTTTGGCTGTTGCTGTTTGTTTTGTCTTTGAGGTAGCGTCTCAGTAGGTAGCCTTGGCTGGCCCAGAGCTTGCTATATAGACAAGGCTGGCCTTGGACTCACAGCTATCTGACTGCTTCTGCCTCCCAAGGGCTGGTTTTAAGGGCATGTGCCACGATACACTGGTTTTGAATGGGGTCCTTACAACTGTGGTCCTAGGCAAGCCTCTTAGTCCCTTTTTAGATTTATTTATTTTATGAGTGTTTTGTCTGCATGTATGTCTGTGAACCATGTATATACTGGGTGCCCACAGAGATCAAAGAAGGGCACCAAACCCCCTGGAGCTGAGTTAGGGACAGCTGTGAGACATTGTTTTTGTGCTGGGAACTGAACCCAGGTCCCAGAATGAGCAACGAGGGCTCTTAACTGCTGTGTCATTTCTCCAACCCCAAACACTAGGTTTTTTTGTTTTGTTTTTGAAAGTTTAACATGAGAAAAATAAAGGAGCTTGCATTCTCTACTCCTGGGCTCCTTGCATCCTGCATCTAATTGGGCTGGGACTTCCTAAGGTAGGCTGGGAAATCTGAGGCTCAGCAGGAACGGCTTCAGACTCATACCTGGTTCTTCAGCAGTCCATCTTCATAGTACCAGATGCAGCCGCCCCCGGCGCGGGGCTCGGCAACCACCACTCGGCCTGCCTTCATGTCCTCCACGTGGTCAGGCACTGCCAAGAATCCCCCGAGGGCCGCATTCCAGAGGCGGAAATAGGCTCGGCGCTGACGAGGGCGAGGAGAGGCTGAGAGTTTTCAGTCACGATGCCCCACCACCCTCAACTCTGGGCCCTCTAGGGGACCCACACTCCCAACCCCTCCTTGGCTCCAAGCTTTCCCCAAGCCTGCTTCAACGTCACACTTTTTTTTTTTGCACACCCATACTTACTAAGGGCACACGCATAACACGGGCACAGTTCTGTGACCACAGACACCTACACCAGCATCTAGGAACCCTGGCAGATCTACTGGCAGTCCACAAGGGGGCACAGTTTACAGAAGGCACAAACAATTCCACAGGTCCACGCAGCCGTCACAGTCACACATCACAATGGACACCCAGACCCTCCCAGCCTGTTCTGTGCCAGCTCCCTCTGCTTGCTACGGGTACAGCCGGTTACAGGACCACAGATGTAACACATGCGCATGCGCACAGAGAAAAAGGCATGTACACATAACGTACATGCTAACGCTAAAGAGAAGCGCAGTGACACCAGCTGGAGATCAGAACTGGCCTTGCCAGCGTCAGCAGGTCTCTCCGTTAGAGGCGACAGGAGTAGGAAAACGATGGAAGCCCTAGGGGTTGTCTGAGAAGGGCTTCCCGCTGGAGTACTGCCCAAGGGTTCTGCAGCCATCATCTTTTTAATTATTTCTTCTGTTGTTGTTGTTGTTCATGGGTGTTTTGCATACCAGAAAAGGCATTAGATCACATCGAACTATAGTTATAGATGGTTGGGAGCCACCATGTGAGTGCTGGGACTTGAACTCGGGACCTCTGACAGAGCAGCCAGTACCCTTAACCACTGGGCCATCTCCAGCCCTGCAGTCATTACTGATGAAGAGTTCTGCAGACATTATCGGTCCTCAACAAACTCAGGACACAAATGCTATCCCCATTTCACAGGTGAGGGAATGCTGAGTGTGATGGCACACGCCTTTAATCCCAGCACTTAGGAGGCAGAGGCAGAGGCAGGTAGACCTCTGTGAGTTTGAGGCTAGCCTGATCTACATAGAGTTTTACAGGCCAGCTAAGACTATCTAGACATAGTGAGTCCTTGCCTTAATATATAGGTGTATACATACACACACACACACACACACACACACACACACACACACACGCAGGGAAACCAGGATCTCTAGAGGGACAGTGCTTGCCCAAAGTTGCAGACAAACTCCTTGTCCACTTCCCTGGACCTTTATTTCCCTATGTAAGGGTTAGAGGTCTTTGCCAGGACGTCTTCCAGCACTGCTACCATGGGAGTCTGTGAACAAAGAGACTACACAGATGCCCTCATACAGAGATGCATATGCTCAGAAGGCTCTCGGGCACAGGTGTGAGCACACACACACACACACACACACACAAACACACACACACACGCCACAACCAATATCCTAGAAATGTATGTGTGCAGAAATGAGGCCAACTTCTAGACAACAGATGCAGAGACACGGACCCTCACATGCACAATCCACGCTTCCCAGAGCCAGGTGTGCCCACTAATGGTGAGTGGCCCATGAGATGATTTTCCATTTGGGGTGAATAAGCTTATTATCGGTTAGGACAAGAGCAAAGCAGTTTTGTCTTCAAGGTGATCTGGAGAATACTACTGAGATGCCAATGCAGGAAGAGGACAAGGCCACACTCTGGCACACCCAGGGGCAGGGACACCCAGAGGCGCTCGTGCTGACTGCTGCCTACCTGCTTGATGGGATAGAGGGAGCCCACCCTCTGGGTACCGCTATAGGTCAGCCAGTTGGTGATCTCGCAGCTACCCAGCAGCCACTGTCGGCCCCGGAAGTCACTGTGTTCGCACACCACCCAGCTGCCCGGCGGGTGCCAGAGACACAGACAGACAGACACAGACAGACACAGAGAGACACAGACAGACAGACAGGGCACAGGTGTCAGAACAACCTCCGCCTCCTCTTCTGTCACACCAGGGGGAATGCCCACAGCAGGAGGGGGAGGCTAATGAATGGATTTGGGGTTTTCAGGACCCGGCATCCAACCCAACCCTGGAAGCCCGAGGCCCTCAGCCCCCATTCCTCCCTCCTTTCCAGCCTGGGGTGGGGGTCCCCATCCCACCAACCACCCAACCACACACTCACACGCCGCCCTTGACACGCATGGACAACACGTGGTTGTTGAAGCCCTCGGCCTGCAGGCTTCGAACCTCCCCCGTCAGCTCGATCTCCTTCCCCTCGAAGCACTCCAGGCCGAAGAGGGACAGGGAAGGCTCTGAAAAGTGCTGGGGCCAGAGAAGGAGGGATGAGGCCATGAAACCCCCAAGCCCAGACTCTGCCCCACAATCCCACACCCATACCCGGCCCTGCAGGCCTCCTGGCTTCCGAGGGCATTTACTATCAGCCATGTCCCCA